ATGGTAATGGTCGTGATGGTGGTGGTCATGGTGTCAATGAGGCTGGTGGTAGCGATGATCATGCTGATGATGGTTATGATGGTGCCGGTGGTGATGATGATGATGATGATGATGATGATGATGATGACGATGTTGATTATGCTGATGATGATGGTTGTGATGGCGAAGATGGTGCTGATGATGATGTTGATGACAATCAGATCAGGTCAGAGCCCATTTGGGGCTGCGAGGGTCTCCCCCCATCCAGCGAATGCCCCAAGGATCGGGCTACACCCGAGCGTCAGTGTGCGCTATGTGACTCCTGCAGTGTTGCGGCTCGCCTCACGACGAAGGGCTTCCTGGTTGCCACTGTGCTATCAAAAGTCGAAGCGCCGTGCCCATAGAGGACGAGCCCTACCGTGAAGAGACGCCTTGCGAGGTCTGTGGGGTATTGACGATAATGATGATGGTGATGATGCTGTTGATGATGATGCTGCTGATGACGATGCTGCTGCTGTTGCTGCTGACGGCGATGCTGCTGATGATGATGCTGATGCTGATCGTGGTGTTGATGATGATCCTGATGATTTTGATGATGCTGATGCTGATGCTGATGCTGATGATGATGCTGGTGATGATGATGCTGATGATGCTGATGATGATGATGATGATGATGATGATGACGATGATGAGCACGATGATGAGGAGGAGGAGGAGGAGGAGGAACTGAGAGAGCGCTTAGGGCGCTCTCGAGAGTTGTGCCTCGGAGGGGCGACGCGCAACAAGCCTTAGAGAAGAGTGAGCGACGGGACGAAGACAGAAAACGGAGGAGGAGGAAGCGGGAGGGAGGGATGGGGGTTTGAGTCTTCTCTTGCCTCACGGTTCCTTGCAGTCGCGTTCCCATTCTGTCTGTTTCCCTCTCTCTCTCTCTTCCTCCCTCTCCCTCCCTCCCTTCGTCTCTCTCTCTCTCTTGCTCTGTTTCTCTCTCGCTCTCTTTCTTTCTCTCTCCCTCTATCTCTTTCTCTATTCATATATAGATATGATACCGGAGAAAAACCCAATCAGGGCTATAGGGCGAGGGGGCTATAGGGCTATTGAGCTATAGGGCTATAGAGCTATAGGGCTCTAGAGTTGTAGGGCTATAGGGCTATAAGGCTTAGGGCTATAGGGCACACCCGGGCACGCCAGGACACCCGGGCACCCGGCCCCCCCGGGCCCCCCCCGGGCACCCGGGCCCCGGGCAACCCCGGGCACCCGGGCGTGCAGCGAAAATCGGCGACAAACCTAACCTAACCATATGAAGCCGCTAGAACCCCTACAGAGGCAAGCTCTGATTGGGGAATATGCATCGGAGGTTGGGGGGTGAGATCGAAGTGGAACGGAGACCCCGACAAAGGAAATCGTTTCGTTTCGTTTGTGTCGTGCGTGCGGCCGAGGCGAAGCTGCGCGGGCGCGCGAGAGGAATGAACCCGCCGTTGCTAGGGCGAAGTCAAGACAAATGATTATCCCCCTCCCGTCCGTCCGGCGGTGGCCCGCGGTGTCCCGCGGTGTCCCGTGGTGTCCCGTGGTGTCCCGTGGTGTCCGCCGTTGCTAGGGCGAAGTCAAGACAAATGATTCTCCCCCTCTCGCCCGTCCGGCGGTGGCCCGCGGTGTCCCGCAGTGTCCCGTGGTGTCCCGTGGTGTCTCGTGGTGTCCGCCTTAGCTAGGGCGAAGTCAAGACGAATGATTCTCCCCCGCCCGCCCGTCCGTCCGTCCGTCCGGGGGTGGCTCGCGGTGTCACGCGGTGTCCCGTGGTGTCCCGTGGTGTCCCGTTGAGTGCGATCGGTAGTGAGATCGATAGTGAGATCGATGTGGTGCCCCGAGGTGTCCCGTGGTGTCCCAACATGTGAGATCGATAGTGAGATCGATAGTGAGATCGACAGGTGTCCCGCGGTGTCCCGTGGTGTCCCGTTGAGTGAGGTCGATCGTGAGATCGATGTGGTGTCCCGAGGTGTCCCGAGGTGTCCCGTGGTGTCCTATGGTGTCCCGTTGAGTGAGATCGAGTGAGATCGATAGTGAGACCGATAGTGAGATCGAGAGATGTCCCGTGGTGTCCCGTTGTGGCCCGTGGTGTCCCGTGGTGTCCCGTTGAGTGAGATCGATAGTGAGATCGATAGTGAGATTGACAGGCGTCCCGTTGTGTCCCGTGGTGTCCCGTTGTGCCCCGTGGTGTCCCGTTGAGTGGGATCGATAGTGAGATCGATAATGAGATCGATAGTGAGATCGATAGTGAGGTCAACGTGGTGTCCCGTGGTGTCCCGTGGTGTCCCGTGGTGTCCCGTTGAGTGGGATCGATAGTGAGATCGATAGTGAGATCGATAGTGAGATCGATGTGGTGTCCCGTGGTGTCCCGTGGTGTCCCGTGGTGTCCCGTTGACTGAGATCGATAGTAAGATCGATAGTGAGACCGATATTGAGATCGAGAGGTGTCCCGCGGTGTCCCGTTTTGTCCCGTGGTGGCCCGTGGTGTCCCGTGTTGTCCCGCTGGGTGAGATCGATAGTGAGATCGATAGTGAGATCGATAAGTGTCCCGAAGTGTCCCGTGGTGTCCCGTGGTGTCCCGTTGAGTGAGATCGAAGGTGAGATCGATTGAGTCAGATGTTGGTTGCCCCCCTTTCCCCCCCCACAACCTCCTTATCACCCGAAGGGTGGTCGTATTGTGGTCACCCATCGGTTCTCCCTTGCTTTTTCGGATCGGCTTGACCTCATGTTGCGATTGCGAGTTCGATTGCGGACGGGGGAACGTCAGTTGGAGAGAGGAAGGAAGAGAGCGATGCGTGAAGGGAGGGAGAAGGCGGTCACAGAGGAAGAGAGAAAGGAGTCGGATTCTGCGACAAAAACGGAGGAGAGGACGGGCCTGGGGAGGTGTGGCCGCGGCCAGCGCGGCACGCGTCGTGCACACCTCTCTCCCTCCTCTCTTCTCTGCCTTCCCCTGACACCTCTTTCGTCTCTCACCCTTTCTGATTGCGCACTGCACGATCGGGTTCGTTTCGGGGTTCCCGGTCCGCTATGACACCCGTCGGCGGATAGAGAACAAAACAGCGCAATGGGAAGGGACGGGTGGGAGGGGCAGGATGCCAGATATAGCGCGAGCGCACCGTAGGTCGCTCCCCTCCCCTATTCCCTCTTCCCTTCTCTGTTCCCCTTTCCCCTCCCTCCACATCCTCCATTTCCAATCCTGCTCTTCCTCCTTGCCCCTCCCCCCCCCGCGTGCTCCCCCTCCCCCATCCCTCTTCTTCACGAGTGACGCCCCCCCCGCCCTGTCGCAGCACCAGACGTGTCGGGGCCCTCCCCGCCCATTATTATTCCTCCTCCTCCTCCTCCTCCTCCTCCTCCTCCTCCTCCTCCTCCTCCTCCTCCTATCTCCTGAGGTAAAAAGCTCCAGCAGCTGCACGGATGGAGGGCCCGTGGTTTTCAAGCTGCGGACCTCGCCGCAGCGCCGCGCGCATAGTATCATAAAGCTTGTCTCCGCAGCTTGGTCTCCTGAGCCAAGAAGCTCCAGCAGCTATCAGCCACGCGCAGAGGGGGGTGGGGGGAGGGGGGAGGGCTTCTTAGAAGCACCCCTGCTTCTTAGAAGGCGCGGGCCTTATCTATAGATGTAAGGCCGGTGCCTTCTAGGAAGCAGCCTGCTTCTAAGAAGCCCTCCCCCTCCCCCCACCCCCTTGTGTGCGCCGCTAAAGCTACATGGATGGAGGGCCCGTGGTTTTCAAGCTGCGGATCTCGCCGCAGCGCCGCGCACATGGTTTCCGAAGCTTGCGGCAGTCACAAGCATTGAGGGCCGGCCGTTTTCACGATGCGGCTTTCGTTTTTTTAATTTTTGGTCAGCGCCACACACAGCGTTTTACAACCTTGCGCCTTGAGGAACATGGAGAGAGGTGGTTTTCAAAGTGCGGCTCTCGCCTTGGCTCCGTGCACATGTGCTTAAGAGGTGCCAACAGCTTCTAAGACGGAGGCCAGTTCGTCTCAACATGCGGCCCTCGGTTGAGACCTCCCTGCGTGCTGTTGCCCAAAGTTCCAGCAGATGCAGCAGTTGCACGGATGGAGCGCGGCTGCTTTCCGAAAGGGGTCTCGCGATTGCGGTCCCGCACGATCTGCGACCAGCACTTCGACATGGCGCAGCGCACACGGATTGAGGACGGGTCTGGTCTTTTTTCGACAAGCGGGGCTACCGTTGGACACGTGCTGGAACTTTCCTGTCCTACAATTGTTTGACGCTTCCAATCCAGAACGATGCGGGGCGGATCCGCTACCGCGCGGGGTCTCGCCTGCAGTGGCAGGCCCACCTGGCGCCGGGATGCTCGTTGCTCCGAGGAGAGGCCGCTCCCCACAGCGGAGAGGAGCAGTGCGTCCCTGGACGCTCCCCCTTCCGCTGCTTCGGCGGCGCGCAGAGGGGGGCAGGGGGAGGGGGGGAAGGCTCCTTAGAAGGAGCCTGCTTCTCAGAGGACGCGGGCCCTGCAGCTACAGAGAGGGCCCGCGCCTTCAAAGAAGCAGGGGTGCTTCTGGGAAGGCTCCCCCCCTCCCCCTGCCCCCGTCTGCGCGCCGCCAGCTGCTGCTGGTCCTCGTCCTTGCCGGTGCTGCTCGTCTCCGCCCTGCCTCCCGCCAGTCGGCCCTCGAGGCCACTCCTCGGCAGACGAGGGCCCTCGTCGATGGCCGCCTCCGGTGGTCGCGGTTTCGCCGAGGGCGGCTGATGGGGAGGCCCGCCGCTGCCGCTGCCGCTGCCCTGCCTTGCTGGGGAGCAGGAAGCGCAAGACCACCACCGCCTGGGGGGATGCAGGACGAGCTGGTGTGCGGGATGCGGGTGACCACGGTGTCCCGCGAGAGCGCCCGGAACGATGTGCACCACATCTCCCCTGACCATCCCTCTGCCTCCATCCTCCAGGAGGTGGTGGTGGTGTGTTTCCTGCTCCCTGCCTCGAGGTGTGCTTGTTTCGTTCCGCGGGGCGGGTGCGTGGCAGGCGCACCTGATAAAGCGGCTCGGGCAGGCAGATCAACGGCTGGAGCGCGGAGGATATACAGGCGAGCTCCGACTTCCGAGGTAGGATGAGGAGCAGGGGAGAAGGGAAACAGAGGAGGAGGAGGAGGAGGAGGAGGAGGAGGAGGAGGAGGAGGAGGAGGCAGGACGAGTGCCTTCCACCATCAGTTTCGAGGCATCACTGCGCAGACCTCCGACGTCTTGATGGTGAAGGCCTCACTTCCGGCGTCGCCGACCCTGAAGACGACGACGACGAGGAGGAGGGGGAGGATGAGCAGGAGTAGGCGGAGAACGCGGTGGAGCAGCAGGAGGAGGAGGAGGAGAAGGGAGAGGAGGAGGTGGAGGAGGAGGAGGACCAGTGGAAACACAAGAGTCATCAACGATGTTGGAATATTCCCTCCCTTCAAGCTCCCTCTTCATAGGCCCCTACACCGGTTCATTTCCACTGTGGGAGCTGCTTCGTTGTTAGTCAACGGTCTGAAGACCCTGAAGCATGTCAAAACATTATTATCGGATCAACCTGGCTGATGCGTCTTGACGATCCTGAATCTTGCCAGAACGCCATTCCTAGGACTTCAACACCGCGAATCAATGTAACCGCTACACCCTCATACTGAATATGTCCCCAAACCATTTCTTGTACGCTGACCATGGGGATCCTTGCAACTCTTGCAATTTGTTTAACGAATGTGCGTGGGTCTAAGGCGAAAGCCACATTTTGAAAACCACGCGCCCCCAGTCCGCGGATCTCTTGCAACTGTTTCGAACGAATGCGCTCGGCGTCAAGGCGAGAGCCACATTTTAGAAATGACCCACCCTCAATCCGTAAGCTCTTTCGAACTTGTCGATGATGGAAACCCATGAAGCCCTTGCACTGGTGAGACGAATACGCGCGGCGCTGAAGAGAGAGCCACATTTTGAAAAGGAACCGCCTTCTATCCGTGAAACGCTCGCAATATTTTGAAAGGAGTGCTCGCGGCGCTAAGGCGAGAGCCACAGTTTGAAAACCACTCGCCTTCAGTCCGCGAAGCTCTGGCAACTTTTTCGAATGTGCATGGCGTTAAGTTAAGAGCCACATTTTGAATACGACCCTCCCTCAATCCGTGAAGCTCTTGCAAATGTTTAGACCGAATGTGCGCGGCGCAAAGGCGAGAGCCACATTTTGAAACTGAACCACCCTCAATCCGTGAAGCTCCTGCGATGTTTACAAAAACGTGTGCGCGGCGCTCAGGCGAGAGCCATGTTTTGAAACTGACCCACCCTCAATCCGTGAAGCTCTTTCGAACTTGTCGATGGTGGAAACCCCTGAAACCTTTGCATTTGTGAAACGAATACGCGCGGCGCTAAGGCGAGAGCCACATTTTGAAAAGGAACCACCTTCTATCCGTGAAACGCTCGCAATATTTTGAAAGGAGTGCTCGCGGCGCTAAGGCGAGAGCCACCGTTTGAAAACCACCCGCCCCCAGTCCGTGAAGCTCTGGCAATTATTTCAAACGAATGCGCGCGGCGTAAGGGCGAGAGCCACATTTTGAAAACGACCCGCCCTCCATCCGTGAAGCTCTTGCACATGTTTAAACCGAATCTGCACGGCGCAAAGGCGAGAACCACATTTTGAAAACGACCCGCCCTCCATTTGTGAAGCTCTTGTATTGTTTAAAAGTGCTGATGTGCGCGGCGCTAAGGCGAGAGCCACATTTTGAAACCTACGCGGTCAGGCAGTCATGCACAGTCAGGCAGGCGATGAAAACGGACATGTCTGGCATCCTGCAACCGATCCGACGAGCGCTGCTCAAGTTTAGCAGAAGCGCGGCCAAAAGCTTCAGGCGCCAAGCCAGCACGCACAGAAAACGCACACCTTGCATCACGCAGCGATCCAGACGCAAACGATCGAAGCGTGTAGCTCAAGCGACGCCGCTAAGGTTCAGCAATTTGCCGATGTTGCTCCATGTCGGTCCATCAAGCTCAGATGAAAGTAATCTTGGCTACGGGTGCCAACAAGGGCATCGGACTCGCCCTTCTGCGGCGGTGCCTGCTGAACCGTGCGGACACGTTTCTGCTGCCTGCTGAACCGGCGGACAGGCTATCGCATCTTAGGTCAACAGAATGGTGATTGTGAGTCCAGACTGCAGTTGATAAGCATTGACACCTCGTCCGACACCAGCGTGAACGAGGCATCAAGTGCGATTGAGGCATTCTTGAGCGACGCTCATGCCAAGGAGCTGCTCAATGGATCGAGCAAGCTCTACGCGATCGTCAACAAAGCGGGGATAGGATCTGGGTCCAACAGGAACATCTTAAAGGTGAACTATTGTGGGGTCGTTCGTGTGGACACAGCCTTTGCTCTCGACAAGAGCCTGCTCGACGAGACGCATGGAAGAATTGTTTATGTCTCGTCCGGCGCTGCAGTCCGGTGCAGAACAGCAGTGCAGGTTACAAGAACATTTTCTTTAACCCGAGCGTTGACACCGAGCAGTTGGACGAAATCTGCTAGACTGTCGAAAGTTTCGATGAAAGCGCTTGCAAAAAACCTTACCAGAAGGAGGGAATGGGCATGAGAAAGGGTGATGTGGCAGACCCGGCTTTTGGATTGTCGAAGGCGTTGCTGAATTGCCACATGGTGCTCATGGCAAGGAAGCGTGGCGACAAATTCAAGATCAACAGTTGCTCACCCGTGGTTGGGGCTACGGAGTTTTTTTGAGGAGCTGGTCGGTGCGTCGGGTTCGTAGTAGCCAACTTGATCGCGGCGTCAGCAGACCAGGGGACGAAGTGTTGCATGAAGTTGCTATTCGAATAATTGGATGGCAATGGGAAGTTCTATCACAAGAGTGGGCAAGCTCGGCTGCTGGATAAGTGCTGAGCAATGAAAGGAAGTTGTGTAAAGTAGTGTGACACACGTGCAGCTTGGTACCAGCATATGTGGCTATGTGTGCAGACGGTCTCTCGTGATGGATGTTGCGCACTTTTTGTCAGGCGACTTGGGAATGTGATTCAGCTGAACGGTTATAATGTTGATCTCTCTTCGTGTGATATCTTCATCTTGGATGTGGTTTCGCGAGGGAAGGTGTACACTCGGGGGACATATTGGGATGGAGGGATCGAAATTGCAGTTCGAGGTCTCCCTCTTGGGCCACTCTTGGGGCCTCTTCGGGGCCTTTCGGGCCTCTCTTGGCGACATCAGTGTGGCTCTCTCAGGCGGGTCTTGGAGGCAGTTTGCGCCACCTTAGACGCCCTGAAGATCGAACAGGCTAGCACGTAAACGAAAGTCATAAAAACCTCAGGTTGTTCAATGGTTTCGGTCTCTTGGGCCTGCCCCGCTTGTCTCAAAGACGGTCCAACAAGCCCCCGACACATCCCGAGTATGGCCCCTTCGAGCGATTTCTAGACATGTGAAATGCGTTGTCTCCCAACCACGCCCTCGATGCCTCCAGGGAAGCTACGCGAGAAGGCCAAGAAGCGCTGGAGTGCGTCCGATAGCGCCCTGGAAATCGGTTGCGCACTGATAAAGCAGGACGTATAACTCGAGTGATTATGTGTCAGCTCCACTTCGGGTGAGAGCGCACGAGGAGGCAAGTGTGCGCCTGGATCCCAGCAGGATTCCGCTCCTGCGAAGCTCGCAGAATGACGACAATTGCACGTTTTAGAGCCTCCGTGCGTGTGAGTAGTCATTTGGATGCGGGGCGGAGGGAGAGATGGCGGCGGCTGCTGTGGAGGGCCAGAATGCGCCAGGCCAGTGCACGCGGGTTCAACCTCAGCCGGCGGCGCTAAACGTCCTCCTGGCTCGCGTCGCTCGTTCGGTTTTGCTCGCCGTTTCTTGCCGCGCCTCTTCCTCACTGCAGAGTTTCTGCTCGCTGCTCTCGCTTGCTCGCGTCGGTGCTTCCCTTTTCTCGCTGTTTTGCCCCAGCCGACATGCGTATGCAAAACAAACATTTACTCTCCCTCCCTCCGCTTTCCTCTTTCCCCCCCCCTCCTGGCCCTCCCGCCGTTGTAGCCCCCTGCCCAGCATGCCAGCTGCGCGTGGTGATTCACGGATGAACTCATTGCCATTGCGTTTCTGCAGTCCGTGTGCGGTGCCGTTCGTGGTCATTCACGTCAGCCTTCCGCGTGATACGCGATTTGTTATCACGCAGCTTTTGGTTGTTAAGTTGTTTACGGGGTGTTGTTACGTAGAAAGCTACCAGTGTGCGTGACCGCCAATTCTGGTAATCGTGTTGCCCACTCCTCGGAGGGGGAGTTCCTCTGATGCAGGCCTGTTCTGCTGGTGTCGCAGTAAGCCCATTGACATCCCGGCTCAAAACATGCATTCGATCCGCGCAAGGCGCCGCTTCGCTGAGCTCTCCAGGAGCTGAGAAAGTGCAATCAATTTCACGCTTGAGTGCATGCACGTGCTGAGGCGATCCATCATCTGACGCGCATTGGGCATCGAAGAAGTCGATATCCCTTCCTCGGGGGAAGCTGGCGGGAGTGGGGCCTAACTAAAGCGGGGTCGGCTTCCCCAGCGGAAGTTTGGCGGATCTCGGCGGAAAGTGAAATCCCCCCCCAGAGGAATGCCATTCTTTTTGGGTTCAGGGTTCGGGGTTTCCCGAAGGGGCCATTCGGGTCCGCGTGGGCTTTGACAGCGGCCACTTTTCCAGGCTTGGGAGTATCCAGGGCTGCGATGAATCGTCTGGGCCCACGTGAGGCGTTGCTCTACTGCACTCCCAACGTGCTGAAAAACGTGGCGACAGCTCCACGCATGGGGCTACGCGCGGCCAGGACGCACCCAGGGCGGGTGGGGCAGAGGAAGGACGAGGAGGGCAAGTGGGTAAGGATTACGAGGCGGAGGGGGAGGAGGAGAAGGAGGAGGAGGAGGAAGAGGAGAGGAGGAGGAAGGGGAGGAGGAGGAGGAAGAGGAGAAAGAGGAGGAGGAGGTAGACCAGTGTAAACCCAAGAGTCATCAACGATGTTGGAATTCACCCTCCCTCCAAGCTCCCTCTTCATATGCTCCTACAGCGGGTCATTTCCATTGAGGGAACTGCCTCGTTGGAAGACAACCGTTTGAAGACCCTGAAGCATGCCAAAGCATTGTTATCGAGATTGCAACGCCACGGATCAACCTGACTGCTGCATCTTGACGGTCCGGAACCGTGCCATAACGCTATTTGGGGGACTTCAACACCGTGAATCAACATAACTGTTGCACCCGCATAATCCCGAATCCTTCCAAAAACATTGTTTCTGGTACGTTAATCATGGGAGTCCGTGAAACTTTCGCAAATGTTGAAAACGAATGCGCGCGGCACTGAGGCGAGAGCCGCATTTTGAAAAGGAACGACCCTCAATCCGTGACGCCCTTGCAAGTTTTGGAAACGAATGCATGCGGCGCTAAGGCGAGAACCGCATTTTGAAAACCACCCGCCCTCAGGCCGTGAAGCTCTTGCAAAGTTTTAACATGAATTTGCGCTGCGCTAAGGCGAGAGCCACATATTGAAAACCACCCGCCCTCATCAACGAAACTCTTGCAATTTAAAAAACGAATGTGCACGGCACTGAGGCAAGAGCGGCACATTGAAAGCCACTCGCCCTCATTCCGCGAAAATCTGGCAAAGTTTTAAATCGAATGTGCGCGGCGCAAAAGCGAGAGCCACATTTCGAAAACCACCTGCCCTCCATCTGTGAAGCTGTTGTCACTTTTTAAGCTTCAGCGTCATTATTGGTAAGGAATTCTCAGGCGAAGCGCCCGTCCCGCCCTAAAATCTGGCTTCGGAGTGCGACAGGGAGAAGTTCTTTACAAGGAAAAGGAATGGAGGAGGAGGAGGAGGAGGGGGAGGAGGAGGAAGACGAGTAGGGGGAGGAGGAGCAGGAGGAGGAGGAAGAGGAGGAGGAGGAGGAGGAGGAGGAAGTGGCACGTGTTGCTGCCCGGATCCGGACCCCTAGAGGTCCCTGGAGGTCTCCAGAGGGGAGGCCTCACGGAGGCGGTGGCCCAACAAGGGCCAACATGAGTCCGACAACTTCGCCGCGCGAGGCCCGAGGGCCAGAAATGGCAGGAGCAAGGGTCAGCGAGTGCTCTCTCCAGCGCGGGGGCCCAAACTTTTTGAGTCGCTGCGACTTGGAGCCAAGACGCGGTCGGGGCAGCCGAGGGACGCTCCGGGGCCAAGTTGGGCTCCGCAGGAGCGGGAGAGGCGCAGAGGGGACCGATGGGGGGCTCCTGGGCTGAGGGTCGGGGGTGGACAGAACCCCCAACAGTGACACGTCGATTAATTAGTGAATTGTCCGTTTTCGGTTCTCGAGAAGGCACCGTGGCCGTTATTTTCCAGGCTTGCGCCCGCCAGGTTGGGGCCTCAGGTCGTTTTCACCAAACCACGTTTTACTAAAGGGGGGTCTGTCCATCCCCGAGAGGGGCTCGAGGACCGCTTCCCCTTCAGGGCCTTGCAGGGCACCGCAGCGACGTGCGCGCGAACTCTCAAGCCGAAATCTCACGGACGTGCGCGCGCGGTCCCCTCGTATGGTCCCGCCTTGTGGTTCTCTCGTGCAGTCGGACCGATGTACACGATCGAGGTCGGTTCGGGGAGGGTGCCCTATTGCTCTTCGTGTGTGGTGGAGATGTTTGTGCATCCTGGGGAGTCTGTTTTGTTTGTTTTGGCCGGCTGGGGGCCTCATGCTCTTCAGGGATGGTCTCCTGGCCCGGGTCCGACTGCATGGTCCCAAGGTGTTCGATCATGGACCCCTTGCTGCCGCAAGCGTGCGGCTTGCGCGCCGAAGACCGCCCGAAACAGTCAAAGACCGCCAGAAGCCGCCGAAGACCCCGAAGACCGTCCGAAGACCGAAGACCGCCGAAGACCGCCAGAAGGCCGCCGAAGAGCGCCAAGGCAAGGGCTGGTGGGCAACAAGGGCTCAGTGGTCGAACACGTAATGGTCCCCCCCATCTGGTCCCCCCGTATGGTCTGCGCGTACGGTCCCCTCGATGGGCCCCCTCGTGCAGTTCCAAAGGAGCGATTCACTGTGTTATAACGCGCGGGGGTGGCCCATGAGACCCCCAAGACGACTCCGGGACAGGCCCCCAGGACCATATTCGGCGGCCACATGTGAAAGTACCCCCACCCCCCACGATTTCCAAGGCGGGGTGGGGGTTCACTCCGTTCGGGAGCTCCCGAGCGGAGAGAACCCCCCCCCCGTTAGAACTCGTGGGGGTGGGGGGTAGGGTTCACACGGGGCCACCTGCATATGATAGTGGCATGTTGTCAGTTTGGTCACCTAAGACACCCCCCAGGCCCCAGCAGGGTCCCTTTCGATCCGATCCGTAGCCGTTTGGCTCAGGCCCGCGCGCCATCCGCCGCACGCCCGGTGCGCGCGCCTGCCCCACCCAGCGTGGCCCTGCCCTGCGGGCGGCAGGGCCGCCCATGGCCGACGCGGGTGGCGATGCGGCCAGCACGGCTGGCAGCGCCTCCCGGCGCGACATGCGCGCCGAGCTGGACCTGTGGCGGCAGAAGCGTGCGGCGGAGGCCGCTGGCACCAAGGCGCCGCGCACGCCGCGGGGGCCAGGGCCGCCCACGCCGGCCCGCAGCCTGGCGGCGAGGTCGGTGCTGAGCCCGAGGTATACAAGCCCGACGAGGTTCGACGGCGAGGGCCCGCGACCCACTGCGGTGCTGGGCTGCGCGCCGCAGCGCAGCTCGCTGGGCGAGCGGAGCAGCGGCCCGCCGCGGCCTGCGAAGCCTGGCCCCGAAGGACCCCCTGCCCGTCTCCCGGCCGCGTCGCACCCAGTCGCCGCCATGCGGCTGGCGCGGCAGCCGGCGGGCGCCCCCACGCCCGAGGCCCGCGAAAGGCCGGCTCAGGCCCCGAAGCAGCCGCCCAGGCCGCCCCCGCCCCACGGCCAGCCGCAGAGCCCACGGGCTGCCTCGCCCGCCGCGGTGGCGCCGGCTGCCCCTGTGCCGCCGGCCGCCGCAGCACCCTCGGCGGAGCTGCTCGCTCGGCTGAGGGCCAGGCGGACGGTCGCCGACAAGGACGGCGCGGTCTACGAGGCTGCGCCTGCAGCCGGCGGCCTGTGCCGGCCCGCCAGCGAGCCGTCCCTGCACAGGGCAGTGGCCCTGGAATTCGTCGGGCAGGGCACCGGGCGTGCCAGCACCGCCGCTGGCATCGGCGGTGGTGCGAAGCCAGGCCCTGCGGGCGAAGACAGAGAGGAGCTGCTGGAGGCCAGCTTGGCGCAGTACGAGGAGCGGTGCCGGCGGCCGCCCCGGCCGCCGGTCTCGCCAGCGGAGCCCAGCGCGGGCCTCGCCGCGGCGTGCCGCGAGGTGGCGGACTTCTTGGAAGCGGAGGCGCGGGCGCTGCCGCAGCGCATGCTGACCGCGGCGCTGGCGCGGCTGGCGGACGGGTCGGAGGAGGGCGCCTGCGGTGAGGCCTGCGCGGGCGGGGCCGAGGGCGCCGCGGCGGCCGCGCCGCCCGTGACGGAGCGGCTGCAAGAGGTGCCCCACCCGCCGCACGCGGGCCCGGCGAGGCCTCAGCTGGCCCCGCTGGCGCTGGCAGGGCTCCGCGGGCGCAGCGGAGCGGGGCCCGAATCGCCCGAGGCGCTCTCGCCGCTGTCCTTAGCATCGCACGGAGAAGCGGAGTTCTGATGGCCAGGCTCTCCTGGCTCGCGGGCGAGGCGTGCCATCGCTAGGAGTCGCCCGCCCGCCCTCTGCGCGTCGTCGGCTCCTCACTCTTTCCGCATTGGCACCAGGGTGGTGGCGCGACCTGCGTCTCTGCACGCGTTGCCAGAGCTAGAATTCGCTGCGGCGCCGGGCTCAGTCGGAGCGTACCGGCTCGGGGCGGCTGCGCGCTTCTGCGGCTAGGGTTGGTCGAAGAGAAATCCCTCTCGGTCCGATCGATCCGGTTCGATATCGACGTCGGCCGTCTCGGTCCAATCCGGGTTCGGATTTCCAGCGATGCAATGCGGCCCGATGCCTGCATGGCGTTGTCGTGCATCTTGGCGCAGCCGATCCGATTCGATTTGGACTTCGAGCCGATGCAGCGATGCAGCCCGGTTTGACACACATTCCGATTCGATCCGGTTTACCGATTCGATGTTGACTGATCCTGTCCTGGGAAAGGCCGTGCGAGCAAATCCCTAGGAATCCTCCAGAAAGCCTTCTCAGGATGCCGCAGGAACTCCTCTGAAAAGCTCACGGGCTTCTTTCGGGTGCCGAAGGCCAAATCCATACAGCATTCTCCAGGTTCCTAAGGGCGCCTCCTTCGGGTTGTTGTGGGTGTTGCGCCTCGCGCGAGGCAACCTGTTGATTTGTATTAGTCTCTGTCACACGCCTGCGCCATTCGGAGCCTTCTGGGCCGCACCTCCCGCTGACACGGCCTTCTTCCGAAGTCACGCGCCGAGGGAGGGGGGAGTAGGACAGAGGAAGGAGGACGAGGAGGGCAGAGGCGGAAGAGGCAGGAGGGGAGGAGGGAGGAGGAGGAGCAGGAGGAGGGGGAGGGACGAGGAGGGCGAAGGGAGGAGGGAGGACCCTGAGGAGGAGGCAGCAAGGGGGATGGGCCAGCATGCCTGGGCAGGTGGTGCCGACAGCGCTGCCAGCCGCATGGACCTGAAGGACACCAGGCACCAGCGCCCTCACCACGGGAGCAGGTGAGAGGGGACAGCGAAAGAGGTCTCGTCTTATGTCGGGCGTGTCCCCCTACAGGGGGATTTTCGACGAAAAGTAAAACATATCCCAAAAATACCCCCAAAAGGTCAAAACATAGTCAAACAATAATCCCAAAACTACTTTTGGACTATTTTTTAATTATGTTCGGAGTATTTTTTTGTTCGTCGAAAATCCCCCTGTAGGGGGACACGCCCGACTTAAGCCTCGTTCCAGGGGACATGGTCGGATGGACAAGGGGGAGGTGGATACGAGAAGGATGGGAAGGATGAGGGAAAGGAGGAGGAGGAGGAGGAGGAGGAGGAGGAGGAGGAGGAGGAGGGGAAGGACGGTCATGAATCCGGGCTCAGCGTGTCGCATCGCCAGGTCTGGCCCGCCCCACATCCCGGTTCCCAAGCATCAGCGCTCAGAGTTTTTTTGAGTCTCCCGCCTCGCGGAGCCGAACGACACGCTATCAGCTCGCAGGGCATGGTGTGTCGCCGGGGCCGCCGCCGCGGCACGCCAAGCAGAAGATCCCGACAAGTGATGAGCATGAGGACGAGTAGCAGCAAAAGCGGCAGCATCTTGACGGTGCGAGTTGCATGTTCAAGGGCTCCCACGAGGGCGCGAAGTTATTCGCGCTTCGCGGTCCTCGTTCCTTCTTCCCCTCCTCCTCGTCCTCCTGTTCTCCCTTGGGGGGGGCGGCGCGAGAGCGCGAAGTTATTCGCGCTTCGCGGAGCGCGAAGCGCGAAATTGGGAGCCCTAGCATGTTCCACGGTCGGGAGACAGATGAGAAAAGAGGGCACGATCGTGAGCAGGGTGAGTGGCTGCTCAACAGTACTATTTCTGACATGCCTGCTTCCCCAGACACTCACATTGCCGAGCGAGACCCTGGCAACAATGGTGGTACATTTAGCCACGCCCATCGTGCCGAAACCTTTCACATTGATACCAAGGCAGGGCAATCTGCGACCGACGTCTGGAAGGATGATCCACGACCCACAAGAAGCCACCACCTTATTAGCTCAATATGGTGGCCAGCCTACGGTGTCGCAAAACTCCTGGGTTCGATATCTGGAACCGTCGGCAACGGCGGCCTCTGCCCAAGCCACTACCCTTGTAGGCTTAGCGGGGCAAGCCGCCGAGTCTGAAATTGATTCTGGTACAGACACCGACACGTCATCATATGACGGAACTGGTACCGTAGATGATTCCGACATGCCTATGTATCTCACAGAAGAGCAACAGGCGCTATTGTTATTTCTAGGATACCAGAAACACAAACGCCGTTGGAGACGCTTTATGAAGAAACCAGTTCGTAAGATACGACGTATTCTCCGACGGGCGTTCGGAGCAAAAGGTATGGGTAGAGGCAAGGGTAAAAGGCAACCGATTGCGAAACGACTACATGGCAGAGGTATGTTGGCATTCTTGGCATCCCTTACTGGACCACAATGCGAAGGAATGTTCCTGGGGGCAGGTAGAGGCCGTGGGCGCACCTCAGGAAAAAAGGGTAAGGCACGTCGAGGCAACCCGAAAGATGTCAATGGGAAAACCATCTAATGTGATATCTGCCATAGCACACAACATTTCCGTCGTGAGTGCCCCCAAGACGATGGGAGAGGCAGGGGTCCGTCGATACATGTGGCTCAAACCGATTCGGACATTCAGTATGTCGATTGGGAGACGCTATTAGCCGAACCCGAAGACACCCCCCACTGCCGCCGTCCACTTCATGGCCGCCAGAGACCCGAGCGCCAGCGTGCCCCTCGAGAGATATGCCGACGAGCTCTTCGAGGATATCCACGTTGGTCACAACAAGATCAACATGGCGGAGTGGTTGGGCATTCGCATTGCGGGGCAACCTGCGCAGATTGAGTTCGTTGAGGATTCCCACGCGCCCGCCGATTCGGACCACGAGATTTCGGGGGCACCCGCAGACTCTGATGCTACGATACCAGCGCCAGAGGAGGAGCTACAAGTGATGCCCCATCCGCAGGTCATTGGTAATCCGATATACGGAGAAACGTGCGACGACGACCCTCTGCGGGGGAACCCGCGAGATGCTGGTGACCTTTCCGAACGCATCTTTTGTGCGCTTGGATATAACGAAGGCTATCGCTTCACGTTCGTAATGCACGACCGGTCTACGAGCCGCCCAGTTTGGAGGCGGGCGCATCGCGCGGATGAGGACGACGACGAATGGGGAACTAGGTCATCACCCGCAGCGTCATGGTCGGAGTCATTCGCGCGGGCACTCACGCGCGCCGTTCTAGTGGCGCACAGCGCCCGCGTCCTCGTGACACGCGGACCCCAAGGACTCCACCTAGAAGGGAACGCTCGCGGGGGAACCCGCCTCGGGGCGAGGATCGGCCAGGCGAGCCCGAAGGCCGCTGCGCACAGCGTCTCGTCAGCTACGCAGATCATGGGCTGGCTCGCCAAAACATGTCAGCAGCATCCATGCAGCGCTGGCTCGACCAAGGCTGGGCCGAGCACGACATCCGCCACCAGCACCCACTTCGCAATATTACGCGGGGCGGCGATGGCAAGATCGCCCGTGCCAACAGAGGTTGCGGTGCAAAGTCGGCCGCCTCGCTTGCGAGGAGGGGCGCAAACAGGGCCATTATGCAGGACCGAGAAGAATGCCGGCGCCTGGTCTGCAACTGCGGACATTTTGCAGACCGCAGACCCGAATGTCCGATTAGGCGTCCTTCAAGGGGCCCCAGCTTTGAGAAGACACCGCGGGTCTGGTCTCACGGAGATGGTTTGGGTCGCAAGGTGGATCCGACTAACCATCCCCCCTGAACAATGCTTGACCAAAACTGATTGCCAGCCGATCACCGAAGACGAAGCAAAACTCATTGAGTGAAGGTGGAAGAACCTCGACAACAATCTCCGACCCCGTCCGCGCTGAAGCAGTTGACCCTACTGCTGTTGTTCGCGATTCAGAATATACTTATAGCAGCGCGTTAACCGACGCGGACACGGACTGAGCGCCTGGCACGCTGGCGTCGTATCGTGCCAGAGACATTGGATGGTCAGGCACCAAGGTATCGTTTAAGCTGGGCGATAGACCTGGATAGGACCTGAGAGCCTGTCACTTTTACAGATCATAGTGGAATCCTACCCCGGAGAGATCTCCATGGAGAGATGCGGGGGAACCTGCGGCATCGTCAAATGCGGGGGCACCCGCTGAGAAACAGCTCAAGGTCCCGAATCCTCCGAAGAAGCGATCTGAGAACGATGTCGATCTATCTCCATCACCAAGTGCGCCAAGGCCACCAATTCCAGCATGATCTAAACGCAAGAAGAGGACCGGCCCAGCGGAAACAGACCCTAGAAGCAAACAGTCACATAGGTATGCGGGGAAACCTGCTTACAGACGGCGCTCCAGGGGGCTGGCAGCGGCCGCGGCAGCATCGGCGTCCCAAAGCAGAAGCGCCCCCGCGCCGAAGGAACCTGTACACTTGCGAGGCCCGACTCCCGGCAGGATCCACGGGGGAACTGGCTGGGCGCCATCGCTGGACGGCGCGACCAGGGGGGCCCTCCTCGCAGCGAGATTAGGGTGAGAGGGCGTTGCGGACTACATCAAAGGCACCGGATGCCAGTGCCGCGACATCCGCGAAAAGAAGAAGGCATCTGAGAGTACAAGCTCATCTGCAGCGCCCGCCGCGGCTGGGACCCCATGCAAGGGCGCCTGCTGAGCCGGCCGCTACGCCCGCGGGGCAACCTGCTACTGCCCTTGAACTGGCAGAAGGAAGCAGGCGATTCTGGGAGACCCTGGGGGCCCTGAACCAGACGATGGTCAACCCAGCCTACAGGCCCCATGCCCCTGACGGCTCTGACCGTTGCAGGTTGGCACAGCGCAATGTAGAACGTGCTGCCACATGCGCTGATAACGGTGCTCTTGACCGTCGGCGCGTACGCGATATTTCGCGGAAAGGACTTGCCCTTAATTTGGTCCGAATCCGAGGAGGAATGCTTAGTGCAGATGCTGCGTGGCGCGCGTGTCCGCACGAGGCCCCCGATCGAATGCGATAAGCGTTGTTGCTCGGAGTGGCTCACCGCAGCCACGCGGCACAAGCCGCTTCACCACGACATGCTCTCCGACCGGTATATCAGTTGGGCCACCTCGCACGGCGCGTTTGACGGTTGGGCGGGCCCCGGAGACCCGCTGGAAAATTGGCCGCCAGAAAGACGCGAGCACTGGCACATTCATCACCTAGGACGTCATCAGAAAATGCCGCCGAGGCCGACGCCGGGCATATCAAGCACTGGCCACGCTCAACCTCTGCGGAATAATCGACCGCAGCTACGGCGTGCAGAAGAACGGACTTCAGGTGAGGAAGCTCAAGTTCCGCGGGGGGGCCCGACCGACGTACTTCTTGCGCCCGCGCGACGGGCGCAGCCATCCAGGCATCAGATGCCCAGAATCTTTGTGCTCACGGGTAACGGACCTGAACGAACCGGGAGCGCCATGCTACTTCATCCACGGCGCGCAGTGGGCAAACGCCTCAAACATGCTACACGTTGGTCTGTCTTGCCGGAGTGAGGGCAATGCCAAAGGGAAGGGAAGGCAGATGATTCGCGGATGCCCATGCTTACCTGGAGGTGGGCGGAGTCATTCAGGCGTGCGGATGGAGTCAGAAGTTTTGGTCATGGTGCGCCTCAAGAATCTACTTCGTGACAACATCCCAGTTTGGTGGTCTGCCAAATACATCATCAAAACGTCGGGCATCCGTGGCAGGATGACTTGGACAGGCGTGGGTCAACGAATTTTATGTGGAAGAAAACCTTCGGGGTAACCTGCATGGTCCCACTCCTGTACCAAAGGAAATGTATGCGTCTCCATACGATGCTTCAACATTGAAAGGATGGGTTATGCCTGGGCCCCCCTGCAACCTCAAGGTTCCTGTCCCGACACCTGCGGCGGAGGTAGAACGCGCCTCTGTATTCATGATGCAAGAG